AACCCGTGTCTTCGGCGTGACGAGCGAACGCTTTAACCACTAGGCTACCCGACCGCCCTGTTGTTCAGTATACCTTAACACGTTTCTTATAATCGTGTAACACAACAGCTCGCAACAGTTTACAAACGCCAAACAAAGAAAGTCAACTTTCACTATGTGACTGTTTTGTACCACTGTTCCTCGACTTCGACTGTGGATCGTTCGTCATGCAATAATGCCCTGCTGTACCTGCAATGATGCTGACTACGGTGTAAAGTAATTGTCATTCACTCGCTCCTATGTAAACATGACAAAATAAAGTTTGTTAAGATAAATCCATTCTAACACAATTTTAGTTCTGATTAATGTCAGGAAAGCATCCTGTTCGGTGTGATTGTCGAGGAGGGCCATGGCATCCCCTTTCCACACTAAAGGTAATGTTACGGTGTTACGATATGATGCGATGTTACGATGCAACGGACGATGTTCCAGTGTTACCATGTGTTGCATTTAACATTGCAATATATGCAATCTGGAGTCTGTATTGTCGTATATTCAAATTTTATTCAGTCACTATTCAGCTTGTCTTGGGGATAAACAACTTTGCATCATGCAATTCGGAAGACAATAATTAGTATTTGGCTTTTTGGTCTTGACATTTTGAGTTTCACTTTAAGACTTTTGATGTAATCTTATTTTATCAGTTTAATAGTTCTAGCTTTAATGTTTTGAAGTTTTTAACAGTCATATTTGCCTTGCGTGAAATGCTAATAGTAAACATCCTTAATAATTTATTAGAAAGAAGCAAGCGTTTATTTAAATCATCTTTTTAACCCTATTGGTCCCTCACTTTTCACACACCCTCAGTGCCACGGGACCATATATGGTCCCGCCAAAATGACCCTGTTCAACTGTAAATTAAGATGCCAAACACTTTACCCTTTTGCTTTTGAATTTACCGCTTATGGACAGCATGTGCTGTTAAAGTTCGATTTCGATTTGCTTTTACTTTCCTTGAAACTGTGATAATGGCGCTTTGACTGGTTGCTGAACTAGCATGTTCCGTGTGTCTGTGTGCATGTAACATGCTGGGATTGTACAATGAAATTGATAAATATGTTTGTATATATATCAGATCTAAGACAAATGATGAATCCCTTCAGAAAATTGAATTTGTTATATACTGTTGTGTAAAAGACTGAGTTTTCTTAAGTTGAGAAAAGTGATATTTTATTGCAGTGAACATAACACTTGATATGATACGTATTTCACTGCAGTGAACATAACATAACACTTTGCCGGAACTATTGCCACACAAGAGTGACCTCCCTGCAAATTATCTCCCTTCATCGTAAGTGTCTAGCCCGTACACGAACTGTTGATTTCCTTTTCACGTTAGGTCCACATTGACAAGGCAAAATAATCGCATAGCGCCACTTTCGTTACTTAACCAGCGTGTATTCTTTCGATTAACATCGGTCTCGTAGCTTTCAAGAATATTTTTTGTTGACGGTGATTTTGTATACAATCATATGCAAATATCACAAATATGTTTTTTACTTTCTTTAAATTGCTCAATATTTTGCAAAACGAAGTAAGTCTCCTTTTTAAGTCACAATGACAAGGGATGGTGAAATGTACCTGCCCGTTAGGTAGGGAGAATTTACGTTTCAAGGTTTTCCGGTAGACAACAACACAAAAACTACGTAATAGGTCGGTGATTCCTCCCCCCCCCCTTCGTTTGACTTCGCGTGTTGTCACATGGATCTATGTTGCAGTTGCAGAACGGATACATAGTTTATAAATAATTACAATATTCTCTTGGACTGAACTAGAACTCAGTACGTCACCATTAGGAAGATTTCCACGGTGACGCGAGGATACATAAAACCGTTCATCGCTTGACTAATACCGTGTTGTAGATGTTGGCACTAGTTTTGGTATGTCGACATGTACATTTCATGTCTGTTTTAAGGCACAATGTTCAAAGACAATTATGTGTTTATTTTTAGTTGAGGAAATGGAAAGTTTTACAGTGAGAAATCTGTCACAATGGACCCAAGATTAAACAGCCTTTTGATAATATTTTATCCACACAGAAAAATCTCGAATGGTTCAATACAAAAAATAGTAATTACACACAATATAGATAATTGATTTCTGAATGAATTCTGAAAGTGTTTGCATTGCAAATTTGATTTTGTTTTGATATTTTAAAATGTATACATTAAATTTGGTTTTACACTGCTTTACTTTAATTATCAAATAGTTCAATGCCATGTGACATAATGAATTTAATAATATTCAATTAATTTTGCCTGTGCATTAGAAGTAATAAAAAAAAGAACAAGATGAATGCATTTTTGGGTTTCGATGTTTTGTTTTTCACAACCTTAAAATATGTACGTTCCCTCCATGCTCTAGTTAAGCTAGGCTAAATATATATTTTTTATAAACCCAACTAACACATTATTACCGAAACCATTAACAATGTTGCAGGTTTTATTTTTCGAAGTCCAATATAAAAACTTTCTTTCCATGGCAAATGATTCCAATAGTTTCATTTATCTATGATTATTATCTCGTTCAAACCTTGCCCTTTATAGAATGGGGAGAAATGAGAAATTTAACTTGAAATGAACTGTCAGGTATGTCCTTGAAATGTACATGTATACAAAGGTGTAAATACAAGTTTAAAGTCGCATGGATTTATAAAAAATAACTATATGAACGAAAAGGTTTTATAGAAATATATTTATGAAACATATATATCCCAGGGTTGGGAACAGTGCCCCTCGTATTATACAGGCTACAAACAGTAAGAAATATTGATAATATTATTACCACAAGTTGGTCAAGATTTTCTTTATGTTATATAAATACTTAGAGCATTCTATAATAGTAAAATGCCACTTTGATTCATCAATATCATTGTTATCTGCACCAAGAAAGAATGCTAACATTTCATGGTCTTCTATCATCTCTATTTTAACATATATTTCAACATAAAGATTATCAATTGGAGTCGAAAAGAAGATATGTCTGAAAGTACGCATTCACAGTTTTTAATGACATGGTGATAATAATACTTAGTAAAAGTATTACATTTTGTACAATCCTTAGATACGTCACTTCTAGATCAAATCCGTATTACAATCTGTATTTCTTCTCTCAATTCTGGATGTAACATTATAATGCTGTATAACACATGAGCAGTAAGCGTTGCATGGGTTTTAGAATATCGAGACAGGTCAGTTCTACATTATTATATTTGTATGTCCATACTTCTTTACATGTCCAACGACCGCCTCCGTGGTCTAGTGGGAAAGCGTCCGCCCGGAGAGCGGAAGGTCCGGGGTTCGATACCAAAAGACGTTAAAAGATGGTACTTGTTGTGACCCTGTCTGGCGCTCGGCATTAAGGGGCTAAAACAAGGACTGGTCGGCTCGGAGTCAGTATACTGTGTCTGAGTGGGGTATTCATGTTGAACTGCGGCATGGTATCTCAGTGAGCTAGCACTATAAATCGGCATCAGTCCGGACTAGTACAAGCAGCCACACAAACACACATACGTACATGCACGTAAGTGCAATAATCTTGGACGCGACGTTAAACCCCATTTCACCTCACCTCACCATCTTAACATGTCCAAAAGTTTCTGGCCACGAACAACGTCAATGTCTTGCCCTTTCACTAGACATGTCACCCACAGAAACTCTTCAAGGAACATCTTGACCAGAACATCTGACGCCGTCCCAATCCTCCAATGAACACAAATCAGATGGTACAAACACTGAGAGGGGAATGGAGGGCAGTTCTTGTTGCGTCATTAGACGCCAACGAGCTCTGTCAGACGTCGTGTACACGCCTGTTTGTTTGCATGTGGAGGCCATAGACATTATAGACGGCGTGACGTTCATTAAGTGACAATAACGATCATGTAAACTCACATGTCGCCCTGAGTGTAATCTGTGAAATTGCCCATTGTACCCACAGGGGGATCTTTGATACTGACACTTGATGGTCAACAGTGTGTTCATCAGTTTATATCTCGCCAAATGATCATACTTTTGTAATACAACATGCATCAACGGGTGTGTTTTTTCATCATTTTGAAAAACTTATCACTTGTTTATGATCGTCAGTTTATATGAATGTTTTGACTGTGAGTGCTTGAAGAATACATTTAACATTACAATATGAACAATGGCACTGAGTGAAGTCAAAGATACAGCACTTCAATACCCCGTGTCAAGAATAAGATGCCTGAGAGGACATCACCTTTATCATCAATGTACAAGGAGGCGGCTAACAGGCTGAGGAAAGGATCTTGAACAAACTACGCAAGCTTTCCGCCAAGACCAGCCATTGCCTGTACACATTTCTGCAGTTCATTCAGAAAACCCCTCAGCATACCAATAAAACTATGCATGTCCCGAACCAGACTGTTGGGTGACAACCAGCCAAACAACGCACGTACAAGAATGTATTGCATAGATACAGATGACACATGCAGAGAGAGACCTCAGACAGGAACAATCTCACGGATGGAGTACGCTGACGAGAGTTCAATGCTCTCCATCTAGACACTTTCTGAAATGTATTATGTCGATTTGTGAAATATAATTTGATGAATGTTGAAATTATAATAAAATAAAACTAAATGGAAGTTGACTTGTGTTGTTTGCCTTAGGAATTTAATGATGAGGTAATGGTCGATTGGTTCCTTTGTTGTAGTTAATACGGTATCGATTGCCGAGGTGAGTACCTTCTCGCAAGAGCGAGATGGGCCCTTCTGAAAAGTATCCATTTTGCACCAAATGTTGCTCTCGGGAGAATGAGCCTAAATGTAATCTGTGCCAGGGACCACCAACACACTGTAAACGTTTGAATTACAAGTTACCAACTCATGCGTTTCATGATCAGGCGATAATTGGGGCAGTTGGGTAAATATCCGTTCTGTGAAGGTATTATTGATTTCAACATGTTTACTTATATTCGCCAACGTTCTAACGCTCATAAATTGCCATGGCAGGTGGTAGAGAGGCAGATTTGCTGTGTAATAATGCGTCAGTGTTAACGCTTCAAGTGTATCTTATTATGATGTGCTTTTGTACATGTAGGTGTGAACATATTCTGTCGGAAAACACGTCCCCAGGATGCGGGTATCACGGACTACTTACAGCTGATGTCAAGTTTATAACAGTAGTTTTCGACCATGAGTCAGGTAAGAAACACTTACTGTCCACAAATATAAACATATGTTCAGACCCTTAATAGTAAGGCTTCATTAATAAAGCACCATTTTATATAACAAACGTACTGACACCATTCCTAATTTTCACAAACGTAAACGCATAAGATCTTTATAAAGCTGTAACGCCATGATGCAACTTATGTACTGTTCAAAGCGACGTTGAAGGCAATACTCTCACGCACTTTATCAAAATCCTTTGGTCTTAAATGAGAAAAATAAAAGTTTGGCTTTAAACATCTTGGCCTTTTGGATTTCTATTGTACACTACGTTCTCGTATCTGTATTGTGATTTTCATTGATTTTATTAGAACAACAGGCATGTGAAGCCTCGCGGTACATCAATAGTCACGGAGTGCAAGTTATTCTTCTGGATGTGGCTTCCATGTATATCCACCTAGCCGACCGGGTCACACAGCTGTTGGAGGGGGAAAACTTACTGGCGATGAGGAACAGCTTGACCTTTCTTGTTCTCCTGCACGAGTACCCGATGGAGAAAGTAATACAAGAGGTATGTGTACACACAGCAATATACAACATGTTGGTTGGTTTGCTTGTTGTTTAACGCCGCACTCAGCAATATTCCAGCTATATGACGGCGGTCTGTAAATAATCGAGTCTCAGCAAGACAATCTAGTGATTAATATCATGAGCATCGATCCATGCGATTGGGATCGATGACATGCATCAACCATGTCAGCGAGTCTGACTACCGGATCCTGTTAGTCGCCTCTTACGACAAGCATAGTCGCCTCTTACGGCTCGCATAGATTGCTGAAGATCTATTCTATCCCGGATCTTCACGGGTCTGTCCTCATGTAAACATGTTATTAACGATATATAGTAACTTCAACTGAATAGATTACACATCTAACTACATGTATGTAGTTCCAAAGCCATTGGCACAAATTACAATTAATATCCCAAACAAATACATAAACATTCATAAATGTAAACTGTCTCCTGTGAATAACAATTTGTAATTGATATATCTGAACTGAACAATCTAAGTGTTTTCAAACTTTAAATCAATAGTAGGTTTGTTTCGATTCTTCCATGAATGAACAAAGCCGACAACGAAGTGTTCAATGGAGTATTGTCAGTACAAATTTAGACACCTGAACAAGGTGAATGAATGGTTCCCAACCTGTTCTACTAAATTATTTTATTTGCATCAAGAAACGACCCCTATCTCTCTAATTTGATGGTACCTTATTATCGCGCATACCACTATAATATTCTCTATAGCCAGAACCTCCAAATAATAGCTGTTCCTGAAAAGAGTTATTCACTTATATTCTTAATATATTCTTTATCGGATCTTTCTGAGTACAATACGGGTATGATTTAATCACTGTGGTACATATTCGTAAGAAGGATAGGAAATGTCTATGAACATCCATATTGACTGGTTTAAACATATTAAAAACGATTCCATGATTAATAATGATTTTACATAAAATATGAATCCTTTTTTTCAGATTCAATATGTGGATGAGAAGTTTGGTATGAATACAACCCTAAGTCGCCTATCACGGTGGCTCTTTCTTTTGTCGCAGCATCTCTCAATAGCCTCAAATGATAGTGTAAACCTGAACAACATTGCTGTTTCTGTGAGCCCCGGCCTCAAATGTGAAGAGGTAAGTTTTATAACTCTTAAAACAAAGTGAAAAGAGATTCTAATAACGTAATGACACCACCACATGTGCATGGATAGCATAGCACAGAGATGCAAAAACATTTACTTACGATACGTTTTTACCAAAACAGTTTTGGGCTAGATGTGAGAGTGAGTGAGTGAGGTTTTACGCCGCTTTTAGCAATGTTCTAGCAATATCCTGGCGGGGGACACCAGAAATGGGTTTCACACATTGTACCCATATGGGAATCGAACCCGGGCCTTCGGCGTGACGAGCGAACGCTTTAACCACTAGGCTACAACACCGCCCCCATAGTTTCATGAGAACCATTTTCTTAGTATGATCCCCACAAAGATGGTGATAAAATGATTTTGTTGCAGGAAGTAAACATTCTGAAATCCACGCCACAAGGAACGTTCTGGGAAAAAGCTGTGATGAAACCAGGCGATTATATTTTTAAGAACATTAAATATGATCTTAATGGACAAACTCTCTCAGTGCTTGCCATGGAGGTAAAGTATGAAAACATATTGACAATCAAAGTTTTTATTTAACAATATTTATTAAGTACATAAAAGTATGATTATACAACCAGTACAGCTATGTTTATATAATATGTAATATAAAAGACAGTCTCTTTAAAGAACTAAATATCATAAGGGTCCTCACAAGTTCTGAATATTTTATGGGATGCGTTCAACGTTTTGAAAAAGTTGTGAAAGATACCAGATGTACTGGCATGAAGGAGAATCAGACTTCAGTAATGGTTTAACTCTTAACAACATACGTAAGGATACCATATTGAGTATTTGAACATGTCATATGTCCAAAACATTGACATGAAAAAAACTGTTGTCGAATATTTGTACATTCTGTTAATGTTCATTTCTTATTAATTTGAGTGAGTGAGTGAGTGAGTGAGTATGGTTTTACGCCGCTTTTAGCAATATTCCAGCAATATCACGGCGGGGGACACCAGAAATGGGCTTCACACATTGTACCCATGTCGGGAATCGAACCCGGGTCTTCGGCGTGACGAGCGAACGCTTTAACCACTAGGCTACCCGACCGCCCCTATTAATTTGAAATATCCAGAGGACCAAAAAATGACCCTCGTCCACATCGTGCTTTATTGATGTAAATAAATACCGTGACAATCGAAATGGCTTACCTAATCATATCATGCAAATGATGGTAAGAATATCTGCTTTCAGTGGGGCCCTTTTACAAAAGAAAATATAAGCAATGGAAGCATTGATATTACAGGGATATGCAGGGATGTTCTAGATGTCCTAGCTAAACACATGCATTTCAGGTAGGTTTGAGATAGTGAATGACGAACACTTTTCGTATAATTATCACGGCTTCATGTGTTCTTAACCATTATGCTGATAGACCTACTGTACCATATATAGATAATGTCCGATTGTTGATTTAACTGTGGAGCACACCGTGGCCCAATCGTTTAAGGCGCTACGATTTCCAGTACAGAGTTTTGTACGTTACATCTAGGTAAGCCAGACACCTGTGATCGTGGGTTCGACTCTCGGATTCGGCCTGATTATGATTATGGACCCGTGAAGATCCGGGGTAGAAAATGTCTTCAGCAACCCATGCTTGCTGTAAAAGGCGACCCATGCTTGTCGTAAGAGGCGACTAACGGGATCGGGTGTTCAGGCTCGCTGACTTGGTTGATGCATGTCGTCGTATCCCAACTGCGTTGATCGATGCCCATGATGTAAATCACTGGATTGTCTGGTCCAGACTCGATTATTTACAGACCGCCGTAAAAAAAAGCTGGAGCACTGTTGAGTGCGGCGTCGATTATGCTTATGACACTATCACTTCGGGCTTTCTTCCCACATCAAGCCGTGATATCACTGAAATACCGTCCTACGCACGGCGTTATATCCAAATAACTCACTCACTCATTTAAGACTCACATATCCAGAAATTAAATCAATCAAATGTTATAAAGTTTTAGGTTCGTTCAACCAGCCGACAGGTCGTGGGGAGCATTACAACCTGACGGGAACTGGACGGGTGTTGTGGGCATGCTGCAGAGAAGGGTAAAGGTTTTACTTAAATGAAATATAAAATTTGTCGAAATCGTAGGGTATTGTCACCTACTTTTTATGTTGGTATGAATATGTTTTTTCATCTCGCAAAACAATTAGTCTGTATCGGCGTACATATACGACTAATACCGTCTACATCCAAATGAGGTTTATTAGAAGGAATACCACAGTGTTGTACATATGCTTATTATTCAATGCAAATAAAGGGGTCAAAGCATTGTAGGTAAAGCGTTGGATCACATTTGCAAAACTATTGCTCATATAGTGGGGTGTTTCCACGCCAAAAACCTAGTCATTCAATTTGGTAGAAATCGTAATGTATAGTAATAGATTTGCAGTTTGCAGTAAGTCTGTCATTCATTGGATGTACAAAAACAGAGAGAGAGAGAGGGCGACAGAGAGAGAGAGAGACAGAGAGAGATGGAGAGAGAGAAACGGAGAGAGAGAGAGAGAGGGCGACAGAGAGAGAGAGAGAGAGAGAGAGAGACAGAGAGAGAGGGAGAGAGAGAGAAACAGAGAGAGAGAAACAGAGAGAGAGACACAGAGAGAGAGAGAAACACACAGAGAGAGAGAAACAGAGATGGAGAGAAACACACAGAGAGAGAAACAGAGAGAGAGAGAGAGAGAGAGAGAGAGAGAGAGAGAGAGATATTATCTAATGAAATCCTTTATACTGCAGGAGGCGGATCTATGCATTTCGCCATACAGTCCCAACGAGGCCAGAATGAAAGTTATGTCTTTTGGCTACCTTTTCAATTATGAAGACGCAGTTGTTGTTTACAAGAGTAAGATGAAGTCAGGATCGGAATGGAGAATTCTTAAAAACTGCTTCAAGACAAACGTGTACCTATACGGACTGATCGCTGCTATAGTTGTGTATCTGATATTTGTTGTTTCTGAATCGGCATATATCTTCTATACGGAGAGTAAATCCAAGCCAACAATTTGGGCTACTTTGAATCAAATGATGCTGGAATGTATAGCTGTGCCCCTCCGTCAAGGTATGGACCGTCCATTACTCTTTTTTCTTTCTTTTTTAAAATTTCAAAAGTTATTTTCAAGCCACTTGATATTGTGAGGGAAAGAACCTCCTTGTGAACATCTACAGGGGCAATGAATATCACTACTGTACATTTATATTGATCACACAACTGTATGGGTATAATCACATAAGCCGTTCTTGTAATGGCATTGTTTGGCAATATATGCACGAGGGTGCCTCTGATTTATATTGCATGTCTCAAGAAGAGCGAATTTACAGAAGTGTGACACGGTTTCCTCGCTGGTCGTATCTACATAGTGGTTTTACCAAGTTCGATATCCCAAGATATATGCTAGCAAACATCGCTGGTCGTGTGTTTGTCATGGTCATCCCGCATAGGGGACATAAAGACCTCTTCCGGTTGTCATCTGACAGAAAGAAACTCATCTGGTACCAGAATTCCTCCCCTAACACTATAGCAGTTTCACAAGCTTCTATTGCTATTGCAGCTTTGGTGCTTTCCATGCAGACAGATTTTCCAATGTGGACATGTGGAAACTTTCAATGTCCTTGATTCTGTGGATATTTCCACAAACGTTGTGTCACGTAGTGCTGTCTGTACCAGCTTCAATAGCTATTGCAGCTTTGGTTACTTTTATGCAGACAGGTTTTCCAATGTGGACATGTGGAAACTTTCAATGTCCTTGATTCTGAGGATATTTCCACAAACGTTGTGTCACGTAGTGCTGTCTGTACCAGCTAAACGTGGGACCTTTAACGGGTAAACACATCTACAGATTCATGAGAATGAACCTCTTGTGAGGTTCTGTCACATTATAACTGATCGCTGGTATATCTTATAACGGGAACACAAATCAAAATAGATTCTTCACTTTTCCGTTATTATTCAATCTTATTTAGGTATTCCCCACTTACCGAGCTCGACGTCAGGTAGACTGGTACTGGTCTTCTGGTGCGTGTACGCCATGATTATGACGTCCATCTACATTGGAAGTCTTGTCGCAATACTATCAACCAATAATGACGAAGTCCCATTCAAAACACTTAAAGAACTGGCAGCAAATAAAGACTTTGGGGTTGACATTGAAGATGGCAGCGTTCTGAAGCACATTATGAAGGTAACGAAATTACGCACCATTTTCCATGTACCTTAATGTGTCACTTATGCAATATTATAAATGTTACTTCCTGACTGTTTCTGATGCAAATAAGTTTTTGTTATGTAGATGTGATTAATATGCAATGTTATATCTAGAACTAAGGCAAATAAGACATAAAAAAGTTATATTCATAGTTTTGGCCATGACAAAGATGTTTTTACAAAAAGCGTTCATATTGACAGGCATATTTTTATTCACTTATTTTTGGGGGGAGTTACTTTCTAATAACATATATTTTATTAACAAAAATAGCATAACTGTGATTTCCAAAATTCCCTTTCTTCGGCATGTAAAGGGCACTTTAACAATACGTTGATTTCATGTTCATGAAAGTTTACGCAAAAGAGACACATTGATATGTAAATAGCATTATCTTTTGATCTTCTATAAAGTTTGATATTGAGGTTGTCAATACCACATCGGAATTTTGTTAAGGGCCATCGTATTTGCAAAGACAATAAATCTTGTACATAGAACTGTAAAAAATGTGTATGAAACATTTTATGTTTTTGATAAAATGATTGTACTGACTCTAACTTATGGAGCTGAAATTTGGTGTTTTGAGAAAAGAGAATATATATAAATTGTACTCAGAATATCCTGTAAATTTGTGCATCATGTGGGATTTAGAACTTCAAATGCTGTAACGTATGGCGACTAAAAGATATCTTTACATGTTGTGTACCACATGAAATATATCTAATACTGGCTAAGAGTAGTTAGTATGAAACAGAATATATATCCATACCAATGTTATAAAATGTTACACTCCATAGTGAATAGAAACATTTTAAATATTCATCGCTTTTGGACGGTTTTAGTTTTCATTGGATGAACAAGAGTGTTCAACCAGTGATACTTAGTTGCTTTTGTCTACGTTTATGGAACTGGTTACATATTGTGCACACATTTCATATGTCGATATTATATTCATGATTTACTAATTTACTTGTCAGTTGCTGTATAGCTATGTATGCATAGATAGTGTGGTGTATTGTAACTCTCAAGGGATATGCATGTTATATAATTGGTACAATGGGTCACATGACCTTTTATACAATTAATCACCTTGCAGTGTGTATGTTGTAAATATCACTCGAGGATTCGTTTCAGTTTTGAATGTGGAGTATGTACACACAGATTTTGAGTTTGAAATATCGGACGACCATTCTTAGAAATACGTATCTTTACAACGCTTTTTTAAACATCGTTAGAGGCTATTCCGTATTTCCAAATACTTGAACAGTCCAAGACAAAGCATATCTGTTACTGAATAACATTTCTCGCATTAAGTGCAATTAACATTCATATTATCATCTCACTATGTAAGTATTGTAGCAGCGTTGTCAATACCGTGCAATCTGGTTGTCGAAGTAACCAAATCCAGTTTTAGTTGACATACTGTGGATATCTTCCACACTCTGAAAAGCCTTGTTTGGTAATCGATAAACCACACTTAAAACATATTTGTAGTATTTGGTTTGAACATTTTCTATGTCACGGCGATGTGTGGTGCCTATGTGTGTGCCGTAAAGATGTGAGTGAGTGAGTGAGTGAGTATGGTTTTACGCCGCTTTTAGCAATATTCCAGCAATATCACGGCGGGGGGCACCAGAAATGGGCTTCACACATTGTACCCATGTGGGGAATTGAACCCGGGTCTTCGACGTGACGAGCGAACGCTTTAACCACTAGGCTACCCGACCGCCCCCGTAAAGATGTATTGTTTGAATTTTGCCCTCAAATAGTTTAGATACCGCACCACGAGGTATTCTTTTATAGCTACAAATACATGTCTTCACAGGATATAAACTTTTCTCGGCTTGTCTGCATAACACAGCACATACTCTTGTAAATGCCAATGCAATAAAGACCCGTGAAGATTCCCGGGTAGAATAGGTTTTCAGCAACCCATGCTTGCCGTAAAAGGTGACTATGCTTGTCGTAAAAGGCGACTAACGGGATCGGGTGGTCAGGCTCGCTGACTTGGTTGATGCATGTCATCGATCCCAATTGCGTGGATCGATGCTCATGACATTAATCACTGGATTGTCTGGTCCAGACTCGATTATTTACAGACCGCCGTCATATAGCTGGAATATTGCTGAGTGCGGCGTTAAACAACCAACCAACCAACCAATACAATTAAATGGAAATGTAATTCCCAGGTACTTATAATGAGAGACAACTTCTAATTTGTCATTTCTAAGAAACCACTTTCTGTGTTTCAATATCTGGCCACCATATCTAAAAGATCAATCTTTTTCTGTTGTCACTATTTATGACGTCGTTTACATTTTGTTTGTTTGTTGTTTAACGCCGCACTCAGCAATATTCCAGCTATATGACGGCGGTCTGTAAATAACCGAGTCTGGACCGGACAATCCAGTCATTGATATCATGCGCATCGATCCACACAAATCGGGATACGATGACATGCATCAACCAAGTCAGCGAGACTGACCACTCCCGTTGGTCGCCTTTTACGACAAGCATAGTCGCCTTTTACGGCAAGCATGGGTTGCTGAAGACCTATTCTACCCCGGATCTTCACGAGTCACGTCGTTTAAAAGTTCATATGCAAGTTCTATGCATAATATAAACAGCATAGGTGACAATATACATCCTTGTCGAAAACCAGCACTTAAATATATCGGTTATAATATAAGGCTAATAAGTATTTATATCAAATGGTTGAATTGTATCATCTGTTAGTTCCTGTACCAGGCATGCTTGTACCACGCGATAGTACAGAAATGAGCCAGGTCACACGTTGGAACTAATCTCACAGTATTATCGTTTTGTTTCTAGACGTCTTCTAATCCAGATTTTCAAGCAATATGGAAGAAGATATCAGTATCAAAAGCAGCTGATGCCAATGAATCTTCACACCAAAAGTGGACGCGCCAAAGGAACAAACTTTACAGTGGCGGCTTTGCCCTGATATCGTCAAGAGCCAATGTTGATTTCTTCATGAGTGAGCACTGCGGGCTGCACATCATGGATGAAGGAATCTTTCCCTTGTTCTCAAGCTTTGTATTCCCTCGTCATTCTCCACTAGCACTGATGATGTCACACAGGTATATCCTTGTACTATTAGTGAGTGAGTGAGTGAGTGAGTTGGGTTTAACGCCGCTTTTAACATTATTCCAGTTATATCACGGCGTGTCAGCTGAATGTGGGAGGAAAGCACGAAGTGATGCAGGTCTCAGACGTTTACCACTTCGGTGAAACCCACGAGCACGGGTATGGTGCTGACAAACCTAGAAACATAATTGGGGCGAACCGGGATTCGAACCCACAATCATAGGTTTCTGGCGTGCCCAAGGGGCGCAACTCTGCACAGCGAATCGCGGCGCCTTAGACGACTGGGCCACCGTGCCCCCCCACCCCCCACCCCCACCCCCACCCCCCACCCCCACCCCCCACCCCCCGTACTATTAAACACAATACAAAATGTGGTGTGTATGTATAATAAATTAGCATGTGTGCACAAACTCTGACTTCAGTGAACAAGGGACCAAGAAAATGTATATTTAATCATGCTATATGTTATGCAGTAATATATTGTATGCAATTATATATTTTGTGCAGCATTATTTCTAAAATGTATGTTGGTATACTTATAGGAATATGTATGTAATTGTTTATGAGTCTATTAATGATTTACTAATTTGCTTGTAAGTTGCTGTATAGATATGTATGCAGACTCGTGAAGATTTGGGGTAGAATAGGTCTTCAGAAACCAATGCTTGCCGTAAAAGGTGACTCTGCATGTTGTAAGAGGTGACTAACGGGATCGGGTGGTCATACTCGTTGACGTGGTTGATGCATGTCATCGTATCCCTATTGCGTGGATCGATGCTCATGATGTCAATCACTGGATTGTCTGGTCCAGGCTCGATTATTTACAGACCACCGTCATATATATTGACGAATATTGCTGAGTGCTGCGTTAAACAACAAACAAAGCATAGATAGTGTAGTGAATGCGTAACACAGGCTAACGGTGTCTCTCTTTCAGAATCCAAACACTGGTTGAAGCGGGTCTTATACCACTATGGAATAAGAAATGGGCACCACAGAAGAAGAGTTGTGTAACTGACTCCAAAACAAAGCCTATTGCAGTGTCAGACCTGTTGTCAGCGTTTATCGTTTGCGGGGCTGGTTTGGGCATGTCCCTTATGTGTCTCATCCTGGAGAAAGTTTTTCAAAAGTACGGAGAACGCTACTTCTGAAATGTGTATCGTGAATGTAGACAATGCTTGGACACATTTTTAGGTCATATGACTTTTCGTTGTTTGTTATCTTTTGAGAAAGCTTCATAATCAATTTACTTTGTGGGTTTTGTATGTAAATGTATTTGTAGTGCTGATCTAATTCTGGAACTAGAGCGTACAACACGCACATGTACACTGAGTGCACGTTTATGATTTGTGTGTGGACTGAATGTAAAGAAGACGTGCCTTTTATGTTAACAAGTAGGTGAGGTGAGGTGAGGTGAGGTGAGGTGAGGTGAGGTGAGGTGAAATAGGGTTTAACGTCGCGTCCAAGATTATTGCACTTATATAGCGACGTGCATGCAGGTGTGTGTGTGTGAGGCTGCTTGTACTAGTCCGGACTGATGCCGATTTATAGTGCTAGCTCACTGAGATACCATGCCGCAGTTTAACATGAATACCCCACTCAGACACAGTATACTGACTCCGAGCCGACCAGTCCTTGTTTTAGCCCCTTAATGCCGAGCGCCAGACAGGGTAACAACAAGTACCATCTTTTAACGTCTTTTGGTATGACGCGGCCGGGGATCGAACCCCGGACCTTCCGCTCTCCGGGCGGACGCTCTACCACTAGACCACGGAGGCGGTCTGTTAACAAGTAACGGAGTTACGAGGAACGAGTTATGGATTGATATGTGTTAAAGTAAAGACGCTGTTGTTGAGCCTTTATTTGTTTTGTGACAGGGTTTGTGTGTTGTTGTCTAACGCCGCAGTAATTTCAGCTATATGACGTCGGGCAAGGGAGTCTGGTCCCGACAAATAGGTGATTGATATTGTGAGCAACGTCCCACGCAGTCAGGCTACGCCGAAAGGCAAACTATCACGTCAACAAGCCTGACGACCCAGCCCCGTTTAGTAACCGTAGGAACCTATTCCAAAAGAGCAAACGCTTTCCGATTGATTAATAGAAAGTTCATAGTTGTAGGTACTATAGGTACGTTGATTTAGAAGCCGTGGGTGCTGAGAATTAACCAATCTTTCTTCAAACGAACACATTACATATTTGAAATTTATTGCTTAAATTAGTGTAGACAATATTTATGCCATGATGCTGATTCATCATATGAGTACAATTAAACCAAATAAATAATATTGAAAGCAACCAATTGAATATAATTAAAGACAAGAAATGATGTTTTCTCGTTTAGTCACACTGCAAATTTAAAAGAGTCATTTCCAAATGTGATGTTTTCTTTGAATGTAAGTAAGAACACCCTTGCAAACATGTAAATCTATGTAAATTACGTATCACCTACCGCCTCCGTGGTCTAGTGGTAGAGCGTCCGCCCGGAGAGCGGAAGGTCCGGGGTTCGATCCCCGGCCGCGTCATACCAAAAGACGTTAAAAGATGGTACTTGTTGTTACCCTGTCTGGCGCTCGGCATTAATAGGCTAAAACAAGGACTGGTCGGCTCGGAGTCAGTATACTGTGTCTGAGTGAGGTATTCATGTTATACTGCGGCATGGTATCTCAGTGAGCTAGCACTATAAATCGGCATCAGTCCGGACTATTACAAGCAGCCACACAAACACACACACGTACATGCACGTCGCTATATAAGTACAATAATCTTGGACGCGACGTTAAACCCAATTTCACCTCCCCTACTTATCACCTGGTCCTTGTTAGAACCTACCTTGTACATCACTTTGCTCTCAATGGACATCGACTATAGTGCATGGTTCGCCTATTGGGTAAATAGTCGCCGCTATTTACATCTCAGTGGCATTAAATGAATTGTAATCATCATCATATTTGACATTTCCACAACGAACATACGGGAACAATCAATAAAACATTAACATCCGAACAAATATGGAACGAACAATTACTTGTAATGCCTTTACTAAAATGATCGCACTATAAAGTGAAACAATTCAGAGCAGTAATGACATGTCAGCGTTTTCGGAGTGATCAATGACAAAAGCACTTAATTCAGTTCTACTACTCTGTTATTTTCCCTGCTGTATATTTATTACTACCACAAAGAGCTATACGTTCCAGTGTAACGTAATTTATCATCCAAAACTGATTTTCATTTTGTGAACTCCTCTGTTTCTCAAACGTACTTGTTCTGGCAAAAGCTACAGTTATGTTCTGTTTGTTACGTTATAATTTATAGGGGGGCACGGGTGGCCCAGTCGTCTAAGGCGCCGCGCAAACCCTGTGTTATCATATTCCGGGGTGGTACAAACACTAACACTAAAGGTAAAATACTCGAGGATTTCATCTCCAATAATGACCTGTGCATTTTATGATGACTGAAGCACTTATCTACACCCTGCAACTGGTACATACTCTTCTCAAAAGTTTTCTCGAACTGATTCTACACAAAGAATTTGAATGGTCAGTACACAATAACCTTTGTTGAAGTGATCATTTCCCAATTATCATTAAAACACTAAATCCATCTGATATGCCACCAACAAAACGAGATTGTACAAAAGGCTACCTGGCCTTTTTTTCAAACATTATGCACTAAGAAACTAAAACCTGAGTGTTTCAGTGATGTTGCTGATCCTATGCAGGTTTTTTGCTGACGTTTTAAATGATTAAGAAAGAAATTAACTTTAACTCTGATAATGGTGAGGTTTATAATGAAGTCGTTTTCATTCATGAGCTGCATACTGCCTTGGGACAAGCGCATGATACAGCTACAGGTGCTGATCATATTATTTACCTGATTCATGTTTAGAAACACTATTAAATGCATATCTGGACAATAGTAATTTCCCTTCATCGTGGCGATTGGCTAACAATCATTGCAGAAGTACTTAAACGTCAACTGATGTTCCTTTATAAACTGTGTTCTCTACCTCCAGGAAATCTATAGAAACTATAGAATCCATAGAAGGCTTTTCCACTTCATTCAAACCCCAGAAAGAACCCAGAGTGTCCTCATACCCCACATATTACAAGTTCTCCAGTTATATGACCTGACACACTTTCTTAATGATTACCTGCCTGAGACCAGACTCTTGTCAAAACAGGCTTGTAAAGCTCCGGTGAATGATAAACCCAAGGCAGACATCACTACAAAATGGCTGTCACATGTTAATTCAGATCGCGACTTTATCCGCTTCAAAGATCTACATCAGAGACCAGGACCAGCAAAAATGCGGAAACTCGCTAGAAACAGACAATATGTCAAGCAGTATGCAACTGTGGATGGCTGTGCCACAAGATGCAGAGACAATATGTGACCTCTGCGACCAGGTGTATCAGGATCTCGACAGGCATGTTCTGACATCATGTTACTCTCTTAGGAACAGTTACGACCAGTTTTGGACAATGTTATCATGTCATCTCCCTCTGGAGTTGCAATGCACTCTCCATAGAGCAGATGATGAAACTCTTCTGCAATATCTGCTTGGCCGATCCCTTGACATGAAATGTGTGAGTACCATGCCATATGTGCAAGTTTTGTAATGGCAGCTATGGCCTTCTATCAGAGAGATCATACCATTATAAGATACCATGCATGAAACAGCCTATACTCCTCAAGGCAACGTCACATAAAGCCCTAACAATTGTACATGTCCTTAATTTGTTTAATGTTTCATGTGGAGAATACTACACTCATTCTCGTTGGAGACCATTTTTTACGAAAAGAGTGGACTGACCGAGCGAAATCATAGGATGCTGGGAACCTATACCAACCCGGAAACCTCACTCGGGGCAGTGTTAATTTGAACTTACCAATAAGGTTTAGAAAGGCAATTTGCTGAAAGAGCCCGTCAGTTAACCCGATTCAAGGATTTTCAATTTACGGAGCCGCTTATTATATATATGGTTTTAAACCCACCTCCAAGGTTAGGCTTAATTTGACATCTCAGACAATATTACTGAAGTTTGTTCACTCCCACGGATAGTGTAATGAAGTATAGTCTTGCCTGAAACTATTACAACGGGAGCAGACGTCCTCGTGTTTCGGAGAATAGTCGAGACTGTTTTTTTCTCTGTCGTTGACGTTTTATATTAACTGGCAAAACTATACTTTACGCAACAGTAGAATCCATGTTTTTCTCTGGACATCCTATACGGTCGCTTTTAAGACTATTGAATACTTGTCTAAACATTTTCTTTTTGTCTGTTCAACATTTTTAGTAAAATCCTGCCAAATTAGTGATATGTCTCGTGTCCAACATGGCCAACAACAGACAAATCGACATGGTTCATGTTACTTAACACGACAGAACCCTTTCCAGTCCATTGTACGATTCCAACTATAAAACCTTTCTGCTTATTCATACCGGACAATCTCCCAGATGTTGCAACACAAATAAATGATCTCAGGACAAGCTAGATGTTCTGAAATTGTGGTTTTGAGTGAAATACAATTGTCTGGTTTTACATGAACCGTGCCAGGGAACCTATCTGCCTAGTGCTTGGACTTATTGCTTTGATTTTTGTCGGGGCTCATTACCTAGCTGGCTTCAATGTGACCCTTGCAATGTCCATTCTTTCACCTATCAGTGCTAATTATCCCGGCCTCCCGTTTGCCCAGTATCCATTACAAATTACTTGGCTATGATAACTTAAGTGTTGACTTCCATTGTCTATTGCTTATCACCTATCAGCGCCAGTCATCTGTTGGCTTCCTTTGTTAGCTTGTACCCTTTGTTATTTTCCACCTTTTGTTATCTTATTAATTTTGTTGTCCTTACATGTACATGTATATGCTCTCTGCCTAATGGCATTCATTCACCTGATGAAGGAGTAAGCATATACTCCAAAACGTTGAGTTCCTCATAATAAAGAAGTTGACATCCATATATTCTCTTCCTTACATGCATATTTCCTGTAAATTGATTGCCATTGAGGGCGCATTACCACGGGCTTGATTATGTGACCACTTTGAGTTTTAAACACAAAAAGAGGCTGTTCCTGATGGCCAGTATGTACTGTGATGGTTTGTTTGTTGTTTGTCGCGCAATAAGACGTGCCTTGTGGAGGTGTATTGACTGAAGCTAGAGCTTGGTAGTGTGTCGTCATTGCCACATTCAGATACATTCCAGCTATATGACGGCGGTCTGTAAATAATCTGGACCAGACCA